TTTCCATTTAAGAAACCTACATGTGTGAGTTTGAGAAAAGCAATAAAATATTCTCAATCAACCTTTTAAAAAAAAGGTAAAGTGTAAATAGCTTGCCAACACATTTTCCATTCTAACTCTGATATAACAAATGATTTAATTGTTGGGTAATTTAATCAGATGGCTTCTGATAAAATTTGAGCAAAGACTTGATGTGTGTCCAGCACTTGAAAAATTGGTGGGTTTTTCAGCTATGAGAATTCTGTCCAGATGGCCCTAGAATGAGGGATAGTATTCAAAATGTTGTTCCCAGAGGACTGGCCAGCTGTATCTAACGTGGAAATGCTTCTGTGAATTTTTAAAAAAACATTAAGTATAACGGAGAATACTGGAGAGAGCATTTAAATGTAATCCGTTCACAATTTAGAGTAATTGACTCAGTTGGCAGGAGTCGTCTGAAATTAGGTTTTAACGGGCACAACTGCTAACACATCTATCTCATACAAACTACATCTAGAACTAAGATGCTAACTTTCTGGAAATTGCCCTTCAGTTCGTTCTTTCCAGCTACCGCCTTTCTTGGCACTATTCAGAAATTTGCCACCTGCATCAAAAGGCCTTTCTAAAGAAGTCCAACACTTGTTATTCTACTGAGAAACATTTGAGGGTACTTTAAATCTGTTTAAACATAGATAAATATAGTCAGGTCTCAACAGTTGGGAGCAGAAACCCAAACACCTACATTTGTAGCAAGAAGACATTTTTGGATGAGCATTTTGTAACAGGCTTCCACAATAGCTGGAAAAATGAATCAAGTCTCACACATTAGAAGCAGCATGTGTCACTTTTTATATCCCTATGAAGCTTTTATGTTTCACATTAGCATCTTCCTGGAGCTCACCCATACCCTTCATAGCAGAATTTTGTACTGCCATCTGACAAAGCTGTATTCAGTCCAAGATTATGGTCTTTCACATCTGCCAAGGGCTGAAAGTATAGTGAGAGAGAAAGCTGAATCCTTGAAACTTCCCACCACAGCAAAGAAGCAAATTTAACAGGCCCCCAAGGAAAACCCATTAAGACCCATCATGCATCCATCAAAAAGGTGATCATAATCTAGACTTTACAGGCTGGAATGGTACTAAAGGAAAAGCAAATAAAACAGTTCTGAGGATTTCCACCAAGACAGACAGAATCGCCAGGAAGGGAATAAAAAATGTCATTTTAGTGGATGTAGCTACATTTAAAAGAGGAAAAAAATTCTTGATACATGCTAATGTAATTGTGTATAATATCAAATTGTGCTCCTTATGTTATTTCTTACAATACAGGACTCATTCTATCACAAATAAAAGCTGTATGAAAGTTTTCTTTGGTTTAAATGTTCATACAGTGTTTAGATTTCTTTCCTTCTTCCAATCTTCAAAGCTAGATCAGGTCCCTTGCACTTGATTTTAAAATACTTGTTCAATTTGATTTGTAGAAACAAATTGAAGACAGACTAAAGGATATCGAGCTGCTTATAAATAAGAACAAATTAAAAAAAAAAAGGAGCTGTAAAATCTGACAGGAAAAACATGATAATCTACAACTATGGTCCCCATTAATTTATTTTAGTACCATTCTTGCCTGTTAATATAAATATGTATATTACTAGCATAATTCATTCACACACATAGCCCACAAAAACACCGTCAAAAAACAATTTTTATGGTATGAGTAATTTAGATTAAATCAGATGCAGCAAAATCAGTTTTGCTTATGCTTTCCTTCAGTTCCATTGCTTCATGGAACAGTTTTGTTAAACAAAATATAAGGTGATGCTGTTTTTACTGTGAGATGGTGCCAGGGACAAATACTAAACAGTGCTAATTGCAGGAAAACACTGAAAAATAGAACTGACTATTGACTATACCAGTGGAGGTGGCTGTTAAGGAAAGTGTTCTTCTGCCATTAGGTGTTTCTTAATAGAGTTAGAAATCCTTACCGTCTATCACTTTAGATGGAACAACGTTTTGCTCTGTATGGCAGTGAGAATGATAGGGCTATTAAATCATAGGGAGGGAAGGAAAATGTGAACAAAAGTTACTCAATAGTAACTCAATACTCTTTCAAGTCCTGGAAGTTTTTCAGGATGTTCACAGGTGGAAAGGAGTGGAAAGTGAGAAAATGAAGAGATTAAAATAATTTAAAGCTTAATTATTTCAATGGGGGTTTTTGGAGTAATAAGAAAAGGGATCCTTCTTCTCTTCTCCTTTCCCATCTCATGTAGATGTAGATGCAGAAGTCCTCCATAAGGTACATGGTAGCGTATCTGGAAATTGTCTTCAAATAAGTTCGGAACATGAATTACACAGAGGTACTGGCTTCCTCAATCTCCTAACAATTACTTTATTTATTAGGTGTGTGATAGCCTGGGGTTTATGATGGAGTACTGTATTGGCAAATAAGGAAAACCACAGTCAGGAGTTTCGTCTGGAGGGAAGTTTGGAAGCTAGAGTAACCAACAAAATAATAGGAGTACAGGGACAGTCTTTGGCTTCTCCCCAGCACTTATCAAAACTTTTCCAAAGAAAGCATGGAAACTTCCTTACTGTATGCTTAATTAAGGAAAAAAAAAAAGCTTTAACAGCTGTGTGTATATGAGGTTTTAAGACTGTGCTCTCTACAGTAGCTTTGGTCCCAGAAGCCAAGAAAATGAATTAGACAGTCAGAGCAAATTCAGACAACTGCATGATTTTAATTAAATCCTTTGATAAAGCTAGTGCCTATTTTTTTCTAATAAAAGGTTCTAAAATTTTAGAAAAAACCAATAGGTTCCTGAACAATAAGTGTGGAAAATTTGGGGACTAAATCAATCAATAAGCTAGAAGTTAAAGGAACTTTAGTCCTGCCTTAAATGAAAATCTTAGCACAGCTTCAGCTACACAGTTTCTGTGGAAAGCCTCGGCAATATTGGTATTCAGTGCACACATTATCCCACATGAATGCCACTAACATATATTAAAGAACTGTCATGGCAATACAAGGAACACAAACCAGCTGATAGTATGAAATATTCTTAACATAGAGAAGGTGTGCTTTTTTTAAAGTTACAAGGATTTTAAACAAATAATTGCTACAAATATGACTGCCAAACATTCTTATCATGATCTTGCTTTGGAGAATTTAAAAGAGGTGCTCATACAGCCTTGATTCTTGAATGGCTGATCTGTGGATGTCTTGATATCATCAGAACTAATTTGAAGATACTTCCAGCATGTCATATAGTTTATTCTTCAGCATTGATTTGCTTACTGTGATCTGAAAGAGGTATATCTACAGAGACAGTGCAGCAAATTGAGAAATAACTGTTCTATTTATATGAATATGGTACATAATTTTGAGTATGCTTATGATGTCTTGCTTCCTAAGAAGGTAGATGAAAAGATGCTGCTAAAGGAAACATCAGGAGTGGCAAAACAATGACAAAGTCACTGAGAAGATAAAGGTGAAGCTAGCCTTTGTGGAATGCCTGATTTTGCCCTCTCAAGGTCAAGCTGAGAAAACAGACACACACTCCAGAGGATCTGAAACATAAAAAGCAGACACCCACATTTATCCCAGCTAACTTTATGCACTCAACTGAAGTGCCTAAGTAATACCATTTTTCCTTATTAGGGGAAACACACACATCTTCCAAAAATAGTTTTGCCTGCCCAAGGTCTGCATTGTCCTCTACAGACATCTGTCTCTCTTACTACAAAAGAAATAAAGTCTGCCTGCACTCCTGCTAAAGTACTCCAGCTAGTGGGACAACAGGCCACTCTATGAAATTTGGGAATAAGAGACAGGATGGCAGATACAGCTAGATAAAAAAGAAGCAGAAACTGCTGAAGAGCGATTGACTTCTCATGCCTCCAGAAAGCAAGGCAACTACTCTCTGAAAGGTACACAAACATGAAAAGAAGGCTATGATCACACAGAACAATCAGAAATATAGATGCAGACCTCAATTTTTTTCACCATCCAGTTTGTAAGGTGTCTAGCTGAAAGCTTGTCTTGATGAAAAAAACCTTGGAAGGAGTGAGCTTATTAAAGTAAATGTTAATCAGGCCCGTCATGCTAATATAGCTGCGAAACAAGGGCCTACAGATCTACCCGAAGGGAAGGACAGAAAGCTAGAAGTGCCCTCAAGGGACAAGAAGTTATCCGAGACACAGGTAACTTCTGCCCTATAACCATGGCAGACAGCAATTCCAAAACATCTCTGTAGAGCTTGCTTACATTGTCAAATGTATCTGCACTTAAGAGTGCTAAATGCTGAGCTAGTACAAAGCAGTGTAGCTTTGCTGCTTGTAAATGAGCTGTATCATTTTACATAGCTGACTGTCTGGATGTCGTAAAAATTCTATTTATTACTGAATGTAAATGTTCTAGCTATAAGTTGCAGCAACTTTCCCCTCAGCTTCTGACCCTGTTTCCTTTATGATGGTTTGAGCCCGTCCTCTAAATAAACATCCTCATTAACAGATATTAAATTAACTCAGGGGAATAGTTGAAGCAGAAGGTTCATGCACACCAGGAAAAGGACGCAGAAAACATAGCATAAATATCTGCAATTGCCAGTGAATTCGGCAGGAAGCAGAGATGGTTCAAAATACATTGTCTTACTGGCTACTGACCTGTTAAAAGTGCTTCTTCCTGTTACAAGAAATCCTCACACGGAACCAAAGCTTATTTCACCTCAACATGTTAAATTCTCACAATGTATTTCTCAGGTTAAGTGCAGAAGTGCTTCATTTTAGATACAGATCTGTCTCTTTCAATTACCAGTGCAGACTACAAAGCATTTTAGTAATGCCATCTGTCAATTTAGCTTGCTAAGATATCCTAATTGGCTCTTTTTTAACTTCAGTGATAGCAGGAAAAGAAAGATGTGCTTAGCAGTCATAAGTATTTATGCCTTGGCACCATTAAAGTGTCTAGCCAGCTCTTAGATTGAATGTAGCTGCAGAAGGTTTGACGTTGACATATAATACCTGTTTTTAATGTGCTGGGGAGAACCAAGACACTTGAAACTTCCATTGACCATAATAGCAAGTCGTGTGCAGAGGGCCTCGCATTCTTCCATACTACAAAATAAAGTGGGGGGGGGGAAGGTTAAGAGACTAATAGTGAAAACAGAGAACGTTATTTATATGCAACTTTAATTAAAGTGGAAGGAACCTGGACAGCTGCAAAAATGGGTACACAAAACCTTTGACTTTAAAGGCAACAGTCCAAATTGTAACTCTAGTCAGTACATACCTAAAACAGAATTTATGTTTTTAGTCCAGAACTAATTGGACAATTCTGGCCACAATACAAAGGTTTTATTACCACAGGCAAATACCTGATAGGCAGTCTCAGAAATGCCACTGAGTGTGAAAGCCATGAACTCTGTTATTCCCTGTACTATCTGTTTGTGGTCAGTCTGAGCTAAAGGATAGAGGGAGAATGAAGAAAGTTTGCTCAGCTTGCCTCTTGCGTGGTACATACCCTTAAAAAGTAGTTACCCTTAGTCTGATTGCAGGATAGAAGAAGATGCAAAACACTACAATCCAAATAGAATTTAGGGCATGGAAATGCAGCTGAATAGAAAAGCAGGATGCTGTTAGATGCAACTGCTTCAGATGATAAATAATAACTTTGACTTGTAAAGCTTAGGGCAGATGGGCTGCCATTCTACATTTTATACAGAATTGTGTGAGCAGTTCTTCCAAAGCATCACTTTAGACATAGGACGTCAGTCGTGACATATCTATCATCTCAAAGAGGAGTCAAAGTTGTCTGATGTTCCTGCAATTCACTGCGTGCACTCCCCAAACCTTCTGAGATAGCTAAACAAAAGTTGTCTTGTGTGCCTCAGCCATGTGCCAGTCCAAATTAAAGTGCCTTTACTGAACAAGCATGGCAATTAAGTACCCTTCTAGGAACAATTTCCTTAAAACAGGACAGGGATATGGTGAGAACTGCCAGACCACTATATTTGAGAGAGATGGGGAGAGGACTTGCTAACAAATCAGGAAGTTAGCTGAGTCTCTTCAGGGTGCAGTAACTCCTAATGCTCCCCTTGGCATAACACTCCCCAGCTGTGGCAAAAAACCCACAAATTTAGGCCTGTATGGACAGTTAATACAATCTCACTCTTCCCCCCCTCAAAACAAAAACATTTTCTCTGAAAATTAAGTGAATAAAACTAATCTTTGCACAGGAAACCTTCTCTCTAGCTTATGCAATTATTTGCTGATATGCATGAAGATTTACTTCCTTTATTCATACAAGTAGCCTTTGAAAGAATCTCAAATAAATCTCCAATGGCCTTCAGCAAATAGTATAAATAGCATAAAAGAATTTCTCCTTCCTCCACCCTGGCACAACAATGTCTTATTAATTAGAAATGAAATGTGTACACTATCACTGTACTTATATCTCCTTGAAGTCATTAATTCGTAGAGCTAAATGAATAATTAGTAACAATTTGATGGTTTTGTTGGTTTGTTTGTTTGTTTGTTTACAGCATATTAGTAACGAGACCACAGCTCTCTTCTGTTTAGCTGGTGTTTGACAGCTAAGGGTTCTTAATCTGGACTGAAAAGTCAAAGCACACTGCTTCCTGAAAATCACTCAACTTAATTCACAATGCATAACTTGTGTTCCCTAAACAAGTGAGCTGGTAAGCACGTGGGGATCAAATACAGGTGTGTGATTTTCAAGATTCAGCTTCCAGAAGTAGAATACTAGAAACTTTTGAGAGCATTTTTCCATCGATAATGTAGCACACACATGTACAGGGACAACAAATACATTTTGAGAACATCTGAAAAATTTTAACAACATCTGGAAAATGTTGAGGGAAGTTTTGCTGCATTCTTTTATTGATTCATCTATGCTTCAAAGCTCATTTGGCCAAAATGTTACATTGCTGTTTTGATTAATGAGTTCTGTCCTCTCTGGGCGTGTTTTCATGACCTCTCTCTCACTTAAATTATATATTTTATATATAATTATATGTACTATACCATATTCCCTAAGGGAACATTTTATTTATTCCATTTTACTATAGATGTTACAAAACAGTGTTGGTGTTTCCTCCATTAAACTGATATACCAATGACCATATCAGAGAATTGACAAGATATTTAATGTAGATTGACCCCGTCCTCTTAGAAGAGTCTCTCCTACCCTTTCCAGTAGTGCATACAGAGAATAGCTGAGGCATCTGTCTTTAGGATGCCATGGCATAGTCTTTTCATACACTGATGCAAAACAGAATCCTTAATAAAATCAGGAGAGGGTTTTTCACTCCCACCTCCCTTTGTAAGGATTTGTAAAGTGGCCAGCTGCAACAGGGTAACCTGGTGTTCCAAGCAAGAAGAGACACTGCAACATTGAATAGAAAGAGCATAGAAAAAGAAGAATTCATTGCATCATTTTTTCTGTGCCTACAGCCACCTTGAGACACATTCTAATCCTTGAAAATTAAATATAGAAAACATTTAGGATTTACATGAGTTCAATTTTCACAAGCAGGAAAGAATTGCCATAAAATACCAAGACATATTCCGCATTTCACACCAGGGTGTGAATATGCTTTTCTGCTCTCAGTTGACAGCAGGTGAGGAGAGAGAACAGGAATACGCTGGCTGCTGGGATAAGGGTCTTACCTGTGGGATGTCAGCACAGCTGCACAGCCATCCTGAACTTCCTTCAGGATGGTTTTCCAAAGGTAGCGTTTAGAGCAGGGATCCATCCCAGAGCTGGGCTCATCCTACAGGAAAAATGAAATTACGATACAGCAGCATGGGAAAAACATACCACAGCTCCAGCACAGCATGAAGAATTAACAAAACTCACAATAAAATCATATATTTTTGTTTAAAAAAGCTACATTTTCAGGAGTTCACTTAAAAGAGACCCTGGACAGTTTTTTGCTTTAACACATATAGTTTCATTTCTACATTTATAGAAGGCACTTTTTATTAAAGAAATTTATATATAAAAATTATATTATTGTAAATTATTTAATAATATAATATTATTTATAAATATACATATATATGTTTAATTATACATACACTTAAACTTTTTTTAATAGGAGAGACTTGCAGCTGTTTTTCCTCACTTTCTGGGAGGGTTTGGTGTCTGTTTCTCCCCTACATGCACATCAGCCATGAGCACAAACAAGTGGAGAAGTCGTCCTGTAACTCCCAGCTGCCTGCACTGCCCATCCCATAGCCAGATGTGGAGAGTATGTTTGGATTCGACGTCCTCCAGCAGTTACTCCCAGAATCCCTTTGAGAGGAATTCTCGTGCATGGTGGAGAGAATCCACAGGATTAAATAACAACCCAGTCAGTGCTGCCCAAAGCAAACCACCTGGCAAACCCATTTCCCACTCGGGTGGCTTTCATGGAGAAAAAAGTGCAGCTACAAAAACTACATTTCTGCTTCCTAACTAATCCTGCTGTCCTCACTAAATCAAATTAGTGGAAGCAGAAGGAATGATGTCTGATTGTCAAAGGCCAGTCTCTGTCACTACAAAACTAGAGAGAAGGAAACTCTCCCAGTTGCTTTTTATATTATGGAATTTCATGAGGGGTGTCAGCACCTATTAGGGTGGTATGGCCTTGGCCAACGTATTAGCAGCAAGGAATCCCAACTGAAACCTGGAAGTAAAGACCTCAAGAAACAAAGCAAACAAGACATCGAGTCTGATGCTGATTTTGGTGCTTAGCTACCAATGGTTGAGGTGAAAAAAAAACCAGTTCAGTCTCCTATTATCTGTGGATAGCTAACAAAGAAAACGTAAAAAGCAATAAAAATAAAGCAACCCACGTTATTACTTAAATTGATAGCTATGATCCTGGATGCAATCTAGAAGCAGATTCAGTGGTTTACATTGGTGTCTTTGCTTTCAGACAAAAAAAAAAGCCTTTTGAAATACTGAATAACTCCTTTAAAATCTGCTAGCTTTCTAAAGCCAGCCAAATGTTTTAAAGCATTTGACATGTTTACATATTTTTCTTTCCTCTTGTCATTACATATGCAATAGTCTGTGCCCTACAGCAAGAAGTAGGTTGAAATGGATACTTGCAGTAGCTTGCTGTCATAAAGACATTAAAAAACAGTTGGAGCATTTTCTAAGATCAGGAAAAAGCACTGATTTAAGATTATCTCCTCCTTTTACTAACTGAACCAGGGTCAGTTTAAGCATAAAATGTAAATAAAATAATTCAGCTCAGAAGTGAGGCAATGATAGGAAGCAGCAAAATGTGTTCGACCTTCTGAAACATGAACCCCGTGAGAACACTAGTTTTGTCTAGTTTTACTTAGCCTGCGATCTGTTACTGGAAGTGCTGTTTTCCCCCCCAACTCTGGGAAGAAGATTCCCTCCCTCTGACAGTTCTGAAAAGTTTATTGCACTATTGAACTGGTTTAGCTCTTCCCAGCCAAGGCTTAAGAAAGGGATGTTCAATCTTCTCTAGTGAAATGATAGGCAATGATAAGAAAGAGAATGTGGTGTCATAATGATGCAGTTCCCAAAGCTTTGTATCTCCAATCTTCAATACAAAAGGCATTGTTTAAACTGAAAAGGCCAGTTTCAGGCCTAAATGAGCAGTAGGATGCAAACACCAAAGCAACATGCAATAAATAATTCAAATTAATATCATTCAGGAGTATTAGTTTGATTGTGTTGTTTGTGAATCCAACAAAAATATAAGAATTAGCCAGATTTATGAAGCATGACACAGCAAGGAATTGAATATCCTGAAAAAGATGAGTCAATAATTAATAACACCAGCTCCAAATTACTAATTAAAACAAGAATCTTCCTTAAGGAAGCCAGGAGAATTGCTCATATATGTTTTTCTCATGTTATATACAAAGTAGAGAATACATAAAGCATTAATATATTTTACATTAAACTATTTTTTTCTTAAAATCTTAAAAAAAAATGACATATCCATTTGGGCCATGGAATGCTACAATTGCATTTGTGTGTATTTAGGGTCTTTTTTTTTTTCCTGCTCACCCAAATACACCAAGGAAAAAAAAAGAAAGAAAAAAAAAGGAAAGAAAAAAAAACTTCACTTTCTATTTTTCTGAGCACTGGAGAATAAAATAAGTAGTGTTCATACAGCAGAACAAAGAGAACAGTTGTACATCTGTGTATCAATTACTCCCTAACTGACCAGGAAACTACCTGATTTTCTTTAGAGCAACATACAAGACAACAAAATTCAATATAATCCATTTTTCATAGGCACAGCATTACCTTTACTCACCAGTAAAAGTATTTGGGGTTTACCAACTAAAGCCACGGCAGTAGAGAGCTTCCTCTTTGTGCCAGCACTGTATGTTCTCACCAGTTTGTCAGCATGGGCTTTGAAGTGTAACCGGTTAACAAGGTCCTCTGCAACCTGTGGTGTAGAAATTTGAAGGCCAGCAAAGATGAGCCAAATTAGGCAGTGTTTGTGCTTAGATTGAAAGAACACTCTGTTAATGCATATTAAGCAAATGTACACGTTGTTTCCTCATTTACCCCTATTTGCTGCATATTATTACGTTTGAATCCTAGACACATACAAAAAGCTGCTCCCGGACCTCTTCGTTCTCCACAAAGGATAAGGATTTTCTTATATAGAAAATTTGGCTTTGTCATTGCCTATAACAGTTCTTTGCATTCATTTTGTGTTGATGGGTCAATTAGCTAAAATGTTCCTTATTCCACCTCGTTCTCCGGTATTTATTTGATCAAACATCTTAGTGACTGAAAATTCAGGAAACAAAATTCTACATCAGCCACAAAACCATGGAAATTGCAGAAAAGCAGATCACAGGACAAGGATTTAGAGTTTAAATATATTTACGTATAAAAATAAGAGACACCTCCAAGAGCAAGTTCTCTGTAAGCAGGAACAATGCTGCAGTGCTGAGAATCTGCAGTATTCTATTGTGGGTCCTGGCACTGGTATTAACAGTCGCTTGTGTTTGGTGTATCTTAATGTATAACCTGACAGCAATGCATGTTCTCAGACAAAAACTACATTTCATAAATATCACTCTAACTACATTAAATACAGAGAGTTTTTTTAAAAAAAAAACACAACTCTCAATCAACAGCCATTAAACCACCCACAAGTAATTTTATACTGAAAAGTTTGAGTCTTTTGCTATTTCAGGGTTAATTCACAGTGGTTTACTTTCATTTAGACACTACTGCATATCAGTAGAAGTGCTACAAATTCAAACATTCCGTGGCTTTAGAAATGGTCAAGCATCTAAGCTATATTCTAAGATATAATAGCTGAGCTTTTTTGTTGGTTTGTCATTTTGGTTTTTGTTTTTGTTTTTATTTACTTCCAAACATAGGTCTTATTATACACCAAAACAGCCTGTAAAGTGAACATCTCTAAAGCATATAGTAGACAGTTTATCCACTCTACTAAACTGACTTGACTTTACTACCACGGGGAATGCATGAATGTTAGTGACAACAGGATTATCCTCCTACAAATCCACCAACAATATACAGAGAATTGCACAGAAAAGCTCATAAAAAAATTAAGACCAGAAGGTGGAAAAATACGCGATCTATTGTTTACACTAAAATTAACATATATTGCAAGCTACAAGAGGCTTCAAGAGTTATTAAACAATAAGGAAAAGAGGACTACGTATCACATTTGAAATGTGGTAAAAACTGTCCTTTAGCTATGACCAGAACCACTTTTTCTAAGACCGCTTTGAAGTGTTACCAAAACTCAGTCTAAGTCAGCAAAATGCCATTCTTTGAAAGAGACAATTAACAGGGAAGAATTTAGAAAGCCAAGGAATAGTGCCAGAGAGAGAAGAAAAAAAATTCAAGTAAGCTAAGTCTTATTGCAGTCTGTAGCCCTCAAGGAGACTGAATCATATATCAGGTATGAACATAATGCTCTTTGTAGGGAGCAACATTAACAAGAATCAACTTTGCAAGATTTACAATTCTACATGTAAAATCCTCCCAACTATCTGGTATGCACTCAAGCATTCAGTGCACCTATACTCATGACTTTGCCATCTCCTGTTTTGTACCAGGGGAGAAAGCCTGGTGAGTCCTCTGCTATGGGAATTTTGCAAGACAAGGTTTACTTAAGGTAAAAAGAGAGGGGTGGGAATCATTTCATAGTACCCACTTTGTTGCTGCTTTGAATGTATAGAGCTTCCAAGATAAAGCTTGCAGATCATTGCAGTGCACACCACAATCTGGCTTGATATCTAGATACGCTTCTCTGGTGCAAAAAGTATCAAATTAGAACAGATTTGGAGCTGAATCACATCAGCAACATAATGGCAGAAGGATTAGCCAGCTTTCTTACTCCTAATCATTTCCCAGCTGCACCTAAAAAAAAATCTTCTACTCCCGCTATCCTCCTCAACCCTTACATTTCAAAGGAACACGCAGAGCATGCTTCAGCAAACATAAGAATATAGAGCTCATTATTCTTTCAAGAGATGACCCCAAACCTTTTTCTCTTTTCTTTAATGTATATAATAAGATTTCCAGAAATAACAGTCTCAGCTTCATCAATATGACCTAAACATCAAAAATGTCATTTGAATGAAATTAGAAATATTATGTATTAGGTATATTGTGGAGGATCCTGCACATCTCCATTATAACTTCATTTATCTGTATAACCGGTGGTATCTCGTGGTTTGCATCATAGTACACTATAAAGTAAAAAAGAAAATCCCTCTTAAACTACTTTAAATGAAATTCAGAATTGAACACGTGATAAATCTTCAAACAAATTATGCAAGAGATTTACAATTCTAATGGTTTCCTTCCTTTAGTGAATGTGAGATATATACACAAGCACCTTCTCTCCCTCCTTGTCATATTCATCATGATGTTTTATTTCTGGTTTCAATTACTTTCAGCAGTGAAGAGTGAGGAGATACATCAGTTTATTTAGCAAGTTGGTAACATGGAGGCCAAATTAAAAGACACAGAGTTACATGCAAATATATACACTGTGAGTGCACTTAAACCATAAAGATGTTTTACCTCTAGTCATGGCTGTAGTAATGCATTTAAACTTTTTCCTTCCTCACCCCCCCCCCCCCCCCCCCCCTTAACAGACTTTACATCTATCAGCTAACAATTTCCCTCATTTCCAATATTCCTTAACATGATTTACTTTTCCCTCATCAATTCTAACATCTTTAGCAAAAGTTCTTTTTCCCCAAATTAATTTAGACTAGTTCCCCTAGCTCTGGAATAGGCATTGGAATGAGCCCTTCAAGCTGTAAAATCTAAACCAAATCCTAAAACACTTTGCATTTCCTAAATACTACATTCATTCCAGAAGAGGCAGTAAGGTGACTTGAATTTTTGCACACATGTTAATATTTGTGGGAGTAAAGGTTAAAGTAGGCATGATGTCCTCTATCCACCAGGGAACCAAGAGACACATCTACCTCACTGAAAAGCAGTAAGTGATGCTAATTATGTAACCACTAATGCTAATGATTTTCCACTCTCTTTAAAAATTGTCATTAATATTCAAGTAAAAAATTAAGTGGTACTGAGAGTTTTCAGTTAGTATGTCTTCCAGAAAAACTTGGAGTTAGCGAAGACTCAATCTATTAGAAGACTAGAAATGTGATAGCCTGTCTATCCTGACTTGAGAGGCTGTATGCATCAGTGTATTCATTTTGCATCATTTCTGTCAAAATAAATACGATGTATAACTTCTTGCTACTTTATTTTGAACAAACCCTCATAAAGCAAACCTGACCTAATACTGAAAATGTGTATCATACCTAGTAAAAATTATAATAAGCATGGGATAAATTCTAGAGTTATCTGGAAAATAACTATACACTTCCAAAATAGTCATTCAAAGTGTCAGGTTCTGGGTAAGTGAATGCAGTGTAGTTTGAACATCCTAAATAACAATCATTCATCAATTCCACACCAAACAGTATTCATTCTGCTTCAGAGTAAACTCAGAATTGTTAGATTTCTTACATTAGGAAAGTGTATACTGATGGTCAAACGTCTAGGGGAAAATAGTTTTTTATCCCAGAATCTTATAAAACTGTACACACTAATTCTGCTTGGGGTCCAAAAAAAGTAAGCATGCAAAGAATAAATGAATTTACAAATTCCCGTTTCCAGCAGCTATAGAATGTAACATGTAAGGAAGTCAATGAGATCCCAGAGTCAGTGCAAAAGCCCTCCTGGAGAGTTAATGTAAAGAGAAATCATACTGACATTCCAAGAAGTTGCCTCTGAAAGCCTGATGAAGCTTGTTTTGAGATTTGCAGCACAAGTTTTAATGCGAATGAGAGATTTCATTTAATGTTGTGTTAATATTTTATATTTTTTAACAAGCTGTATGCTGTCTTTTGGAACGAATTGATATATTGAAACTTGATATATTAAAGAAATAAAAATAAGAATTAAAAATACTATGTTACATTAGTAACTGTCTAAATAGCCCAAAAGCTCTACTCTACCTTTTCCAGTTTTGCAGCAAAAAGAAACTTTCAGAGCAGATTTGGGAAGTAAAGTAAAACTTCATATTACATGAAGCTTAACACTGATAGCAAATGACCCATTTTTCTACTCCTTTCCCATTCAGTTAATTACTGTTTTGGAACACTAAGTGCACTCAACTTTATGTCAGGCACTTAACTCCTGCTGCTGATAAATCTGGCTAGCAAAGGATTTGATCCTTGAAGTTAGTACTTCAATGGACTACTTTAGGAGCAACACATCCTGTAAGTCACCTGCCCGCTTGCCAGTTTATTAAAAAACAAAATGAATGTATGTTGCTTTCCACATCAAAACCACGTACTCTCTAGAGTTTATGTGTGTGTGCACGTTAGAATAAACACTCACTGGTAAACATTCAGAGGCAGGCTTGGAGCGCCATATCATAGGCAGGAGGGAATGGGAAAATAACAGCTTACATTTCCATACAGCTGCTATTCCAAAGAGTTCCCAGGCCTTCTTTTCTTTATAGACAACTAAAATGCACACTTTCTCCAGGCACCAGACATTTCTGCGTTGAAACACAGCAGCTGTTCAACACTTGACAGCAATGCCACACAGTCTGAAGGGCCCACTGACAAAAACATTTGTTTTCCTCTGAGATAGTTGCATTTCAGTTTTTGATGAAGGTACACCAGATGTTGTGGTTTAGCCCCAGCCGGCAACTAAGCACCACGCAGCCACTCGCTGCTCCCTCCCACCCCCAGTGGGATGGGGGAGAGAATCAGAAGAATAAAAGTGAGAACACTTGTGGGTTGAGATAAGAACAGTTTAATAATTGAAATAAAATATAATAGTAATAATAATAAAATAATAATAATTTGCAATGAAAAGGAAAATAACAAAAAGAGAGAGAAATAAAACCCAAGAAAGACAAGTGATGCAAATGAAAAACAATTGCTCACCACCAACTGACTGATGCCCAGCCAGCCCCTGAGCAGCAGCCATGCCCCAGCCAACTCCCCTCAGTTTATGTACTGAGCATGGTATGGAATATCCCTGTGGCCAGTTTGGGTCAGCTGTCCTGGCTGTGCCCCCTCCCAGCTTCTTGTGCACCTCCAGCCTTCTCAGTCGGTAGAGCGTGGGAAGCTGAAGTGTTCTTGACTAGTGTAAGCACTCCCTAGCAACAACTAAAACATCGGTGTGTTACCAACATTATTCTCATCCTAAATCCAAAACACAGCACTGTACCAGCTACTAGAAAGAAAATTAACTCTATCCCAGCCGAAACCAGGACACCAGAGTAGCTAAATATTATTTGCAGGAGCCCTTTCATGCCTTGATCACAAGCATATGGCAACAAAGTCTGCTCAACATCTATGCAGACGAAAAATTAGGACAACTGAAAGGAAGAACGGTCTCCGTATCACAAATGTGAAACTAAGGCACAGAAGGCTGCTTATAAAGAATAGTCTAAGCCTACACTTAGATCATCTAAGGTCCAGGATAATCAGAAGATTAACATTTATCTTCTCCCAGTGCACCACAGTAACATAACTCATCTCTAAATAACGCAGAATTGATTTTGATTCACTTGAAGCAGGACCTGTACATGAATCACCACACCATTTGAGGCACTGTTCCCCAAATGGTTTTGAGAACTGCCATTGGAGCAGCTGTGTACTAACTGCCCAGAGAATAGCTGGATCTGAACATAAAGTGGAAGCTCTTAGGTACACCAATTATTCATAAATATTTCTGCATTTGAAATGGGTTTTATGAATGCCAGCTATTTCAGAGAGAGCACTACACTCACATTATCTGCAGAGAAAGTATACGAAGCCAGGTTACCCTTGTGGCTCCTCACCAAACGCAGACAGGAGGCAGCATTTGCAGTAGTGTTCATTTACATATGCACATGCAGAGAGACACCCTGCAGGCACAGCATAGAAATCTGTTGGTATCGTCCTGCTCATCGCAATCTGGAAAACTTCCCAGGCACCTGAGAAAAGCCCAGTGCCGCATGGGACAGTTTACTTATGAAATCCAGGTCCTTAAGCACGCCACAGATCTCTCTCCATTCTCAAGCTTCCACTTAGCTCCTGATCCTGCTCCTCATCCTCCAAAACAGTTGCTGCTGGGAGGCCAAATGACCTGAAGGAGTCACAAATCAAGCAGTGACAGCAGGATTCATGTGCACACGCACACACAGACACTCTCCTCTACTACCTGGCGTTGACAGGGTTTGTGCAGAGTGTAAGATTAAAGCATTAACAGCCCATTGTAATGCACGGATCAGTTCACATTTCTCAAAGCTGTCTCCAGTTGTCTGCAGATGAGGTATTACCAATAAGGTGGTGTCTGCCAGTGCCACCTGAACAGCTTTTCCTCACACCTGCGAGTACTAAAATAAAACAACAGCTAAGAGTCTGCGACTCCAGGACTCAGAAAGGTAGCACAGCACTAAAAGCCCTATTCAGCTCTCACTCAGACATCCCTTTTGGCAAATTCAAGTCAGTTATAAAAGTAACTCTTCCAATAAGGCTGAGGCAATTATTTTAACTGTGGGGAAGTCCTTCTTAGCCTACCTTATAGGCTCATTCCTACTCCATTTCTCTCTCAGAGGATCACCATCCACCTGGGTTTATGTGCTTCAGCTTATTCACAAATGGGGAGTATGCTTACTCTATACTCTGGAGTGAGCTATCTAAGGGTAACACTGTATGTATATGACCCAAAGTATGTGAGTTAAGTGAGTCCCACAAAATTTAATTAAAACTATGTACTTCTATCGTTCAGGTGCTTCTGAAATTTGCATTATTCTTAGGGTGTCTTAAAAACTGCTTCATTTATAGCACATGGTGTACCATTTGGACATATGTATTACAAGAATATATTGTCTTTTCTTATGAAAATGATAAGACAGGAAAGCTTAAAAGCCATGTTTAGAGCATTTTAAGAGCACTGCTGCGTAATTAAACCATCAAACTTTGATTCCTGTTTTAAATTACACATAGGACCAAAAGCATTCAATAACATATGTAAGATGTATGGATATTTAACAGCAGCCTTTTGAATGACTACAAAGCTCTAGAGGAGATGCCAGAATCTGTTGCCACCTTTGTGTCTATTAAAGTGCCACAATAATAGATGCTAGTTATGATAGGCTTTTAGCCCAACTGTTAGAGAGGAGCTGTCAGTTCATGGAGAAAATAGGTAGTTATAGTTGAGGGGTTTAGTGCAATAACAATTATCCCTTAATATATTTCCTTTAGATCAAGGGATACATATTCAAGTTTTCACTACTCTGCTAGTACTCAGAAGCAAAAACTGCCACTGATAAGTTATGAAGAGCAAACAACTAAATAAAAGACTGTATGATGATTTCTAAGCAGCCTGCAAGAAATGTACTGTTAAAACAGTTAGTTAAAAGTCCAGCCAGGCAGGATAGTGCCCAAGAGAAGGGGCAAAGACTTGTAAGAATATTTTATTTCCCCAGTCCCTCATCCAGAAACACTCAAATGATTAGCTTAAGACAGGAAAAATTCAAAATATTGCCTGTCGTGATGCTATTATTGGGGCACGATGGCAGTTATTTCTGAATACTCAATGTCCCATTGCAAGAATCATACCTTTTTCTGGAATAATACCTAGCTGCTGGGGAAAAAAAGCTGCAAAGAACCAGAAGGCGGCCCTCTCAGACACAGACAAGGAACTGACTGTAAACCACTTAGCAGACCCTGAGGCAATAGCCAGGAAAATGCTGGGTAGGTAGAAAAAAAAGATATTTCAGTTACGTGCGGATTTGCATCTGGAAAAAGGAAAAGGAAGACAACAGGCAGCATTCTGGAGGTTACGAGGACAATCC